ACATTCAAAATGCCTAGGATGAATAGTTACACGGCATGACAAAGCCACAACCCAATACGAAAGCGACGCATTTTCATTCCCAATATATGGCCTTCTTACATGTTATCTCATCCTTTCAAACCTTTTTTAAACTAAGTTGGTCTAAGATCCCAATGTTCAATGCAATACAAGTGCTCAATCTTTTGTTTTCAGATATCTTTTGGCCCCAAAGAACCTTATGCACACTCCTCATTATCAGCCCAACGCAAATGTTGCCTCGAGATAGTGTATTCACATGCACCGAATAGGAAATCTCTCTTCAACTTGTTTTTAAATACCTCCAACAATCATATAAACTTTACAGCCCATTATGCTTCAAATGTAAATAAACTTTCCAATTGATCATCTCAACCTCAAGATGTATAGATATAAAAAATAGATTTTAAGTTATGAAAACAATGCATCTTGTAACGTATTATCTGGACTGTCTATTTTTAAGATTTTCAAATATTTACAGATTTGCTCAATTTTCACCCTTTTTAGCTTTAAACTTCATAATTAAGAATGAAGATAGATTTTTTTTTTTCCTCGGGATTTTTTCCACCAAGACTTGACCCAACCCCACACAACCCTCATGTCATGATCGTGTCTGCTTGACCAGGACCCAACTGGGTTAGTTCTTATGTTGTGTCTTATGGGTCACCATGTTAGACATTAGTAACTTTGTGTGGCTTGAACTCTGAAATTTGAATTTGAAATGAACCACAATTTGAGAATTTTGTGCCTGTCGAAACATAAAATAGTCAATTGAGCTTACCAAATGATGAAGATAGAAAAGAAACAAGTCAAAACACGGTAAGAACATTAAATAAATATCCAAGGGGATATAAATGTAGGAGATTGCGTTTTCTAGTAGAGAGAGATATATTATATATATGTTTATTAGTTACTTTTTATGGTCTTTTTGCATTTTTAGCAAATAATAAATTAATTTTGAAAGTTTTACTTTTTTTAGTGTGGCAACTTTGTATGTGATTACATTTCCACGGCATAGACTTCGAGATCATTTAAGGCCCTAAGAAACAATCGCTGTCCCCTCTACACAACGAGGAATTCAACAAACAAATAAAAAAAGGCTGTGGTTTGTGTAAGCCTGAGGTCTTAAACATTCAAAAGTAAGACGCACCTTCAAATAATATTGAATGATGTTTCAGTAATGAAAATCTTTGTGATGGCCTGAAAATTCATTTTCACCTCTAGTTATAAAATTTGAAAGCTTAAAAAATTATAGAGATCGAATAGATCTATGAATACTTGAAAATTTTGAAAATTGAAGGCTTAAAAAATGCAATACTTGGTGTACAATTTCTATGACTTCAAATCCATTTTTTCTCATGTCCATACATTTTGAAGTCGAGATGATCGATTTGAGGATTTTTGGACATCAATACAACCTTTTCTAATGAATTTTTGAGGTGTTTTAAATTGATTGTTTAGGGCCCACCGTTATATAAATTTTTTCTATAAAAAAAACTTAAAATGTTTTCCACGTTTTATTTCACATTTTTAATATTTTATTTGTTCCCTCGGTGTAAGTAATTGGAAACACGTCTTATGAGTTGTGCTCATATTCAATAATCTTTTATTTTTTGAGAATTCATTAAATAATCCAATGTCTTAGTGTCGGCGATTTATTGGGCCCTCTTTCTAATGGTTCAAACCAATGGTTTAAAAAACGGATCGGTGACCCGGATCGGGCTTCCAAAAAACCGATCCGGATCGACAAATCGGCTATCCGGATCGGGAATCAGGTGAATCGGTCAAAATAAAGCTTAAAAAAAATCCGAAAAATTATTAAAATTCATTATAAATATTGTTTTTTAGGAATTCAATAAGAAATGAGGGTATTCCATTAAGAATTTTCATGTTTTTGAATGAATATGCGAATATTGATATGTTCTTTCCCTGCATGAACCACCATTCAGCATTTAATTTATATCACACAAAAGGATAAACATATAATTATCATGGAATAAGTATATCAACATACATGGACTACAATAAAGCATAAAATTAGTAACATATGATCTAAAAATAAAATGATAGATGATGTTATTGTTCTTCTTGGTCACGCTGGTGCCATTGATTGAATTCGTTTAACAATTCATTGATTCGATCTAAAAACGAATCATCATTATTGCAGGCGTCTGACTATTCCCAAATCCCTGAGTATTAGTGTTTTGTTGTGTTCCCAATCTAAAATCCCTGAAGATTGTTCATCCTTCATGCTCACCTGCACTGTCGTGCTCATCCCTACACTGTTGCTGTTGGGACTCGATATGTGAATAATATGGCTGGGATAGGGTGGCCTCAGAATCATCATCTCTCTCTGTAACAATCCTAAAAATTTCAAAAAAAAAAAAAGAAAAAAAAAAAAAAAAAAGAAAAGAAAAAGAAAGAAGAAAGAATAA